ACAGGTTTCCCAGAGAGGTGGTGGATGCCCCATCCCTGGAAACATTCCAGGTCAGGTTGGACGGGGCTCTGAGCAACCTGATCTAGTGGAATATGTCCCTGCCCACGGCAGGGGGGTTGGACTAGATGACGTTTAAAGGTCCCTCCCAACTCAAACTATTCTATGATTCTATGATTAACCAGTCCGCTGGACATAAGTGTGTGCTGGGTACTAGAAGTCTGTTTGTTCGAAGATACCTTAATTGAAAAATAAAATTTAAAGGGAGACCATATCCGTAAGTATAAGCAAGAGGGAGAGAGGAGCAGAGTTATGGTTGAGCTTTCAGCCTTAATTCTGGATTTCAAGAGCTCTGAATGCTTGGTTTGTTAGCATTAATGTTGCACTAACTTAAGGTATTTTTGCATGAGGGTGTGTGTGTTTAATCAACTAAGCATGAAATCCCTTGCTTCTGTTTGTCCCTATTAAATAGTGGCAACAAAAGAAACAGACAGGAGATGGGTCCAGGACAAAGCAGAAATAATGGAGTATTTCACCCCCAAAAGGGGAGTGAAAGGAGATGTACAATGAGTAGGCAAAGACAGACTCAATGGCCGGAGGCAGTGTAATGTGTTGGAGAGAGGAGTAATTCAGGGTCGTTTGCTGCCCAGAGCTTCAGTCTGTGATCTCTGAGTGGCACATGTATCTGAAGTGTTTGGCCACCCCTACTATAGACACAATATTTAATGCTCTTCCCGGAAGAAATCTCCATAGGGCTTTAAAGGGACACTGTCTAGGATTGTCAGCTCAAATACTGATCCACCTAAAACTGGAATAATCTGGTTGGGATAGAAATTGCTAAGCAGGAGTAGGACTGAGTAACTTTTGCCCTTAGCTCTTGCATATGATTATACGTGCAAATGCAGCATGCATGCACACATACAAGTAAAATGAAAGTAACGGTGCTGAATATTGCACAGTTTTCTGCAGACTGCAGCACCTAATTACTCCCGGTTTCCTCGATCAATACATCCTTTTTTCCAAAACTGGCTAGATGCATACTTTTTTTTCAAGATACTGTGTTGTTTTATTTTCAGTACTTTAAAATCCGCTCATTCATTAAAAAAAGAAAAAAATTAACTCCTGACTCTCCCTGCCTGCCTCTCTTTGCCTGCTTCTTCTCCCCATCCAATGCCTATAAAGAGTTTTGAGTGTGATGTTCTCAAAAATCATGAAAACTTTGTTTGACATGTCTCTCCCTTTAAAGTAAGTAAGGTCTTACCCTTATGGGATGAAAGGGCTCCGAAAAATGGTGTTCCTTTTTTGTTGCTAGTACTGGGGCTGAAATGCATGACCATATCCCAAACAACATTTCAGTGACTATGCCAGCTAGCTCTGCTTGACTGTGTATTTTTGGTAGTCAAATGTTTTCTTTCTGCGCTCTCTAACACTCCCTCCAAGTGGCCTCATTTGGGTGTGCAGTTTGTTTTATGATACCTAAAAGGCAGCCTTTTCTTGGACAGTCATTCATCGAGGAAATCAGATTTGGGAATCAATGAAAGAGACTTCCAGGTCCTTATCTGACAAGTGTTTGAAGACCAGGCAGACTGTTAATTCAAATTTCTCTTATGCCCTTTGGGTTATCCAAATGGAGTGGAGAGTACGCCGGTTTTGGAAAGGACTGAGTGCTAGTTGTGATTTGAACAACTCTCTCAATGTTTTTGATACATTTGTGTTTTGGATTTCAGGAATGGCTTCTTTAGTTACTAACACATATTTCTTGCAGTTCTGTGCATTTCAGACTGCACTGTAATACGTGACGACATCTTAAATAATGGTGTAGCTCTAGTTCATGCTTTATAAAATATTTCAGGATGCATTTCCTGTCCATAATCAAAAGCAGAATATAGGATGTAATGTTATTTGCATGGTCAATGACCTCTGAATTTTCTACTCTCTACAGATCTTGTGCAGCTACCAGATGCAGCTGCCAAAGTTGTGACAATAGAGGTTTAGTCTCTATAATGGATGCTTAAATAGCCCTGACTTTGTTAGGGGCCAAGTAACTTCAAGCTGCTGAGAGAACGGGAAGGCAGTGATCAGACTGTTTGTATAGTGATATTTCCAATGGAAGAGATGTTCATTGAGCTTGAGTAAGGAGGATTGTGAAACAAGTTTATAAATTTAAATAAGTTATTACAAGTATCCCCTAAGATGTGCTGTAGAATTTCTCGTGTCAGCCAGTGGTAAGTGCTATACACAGCAGCTTAAATTTCAGCAGCTTTTTGAAGCTACAATATTTGAAGTCTGTTTTCATTCCAACCAAACAAAAATACCTACTGAAGGAAATTAGCCTTGCAGAAGGACAAAGTCATGAGCATAACAAAGATAGGGGAATCATATCAAATAAAATATGAGAGTGGTCTGGAGGGAGCCATTTTCCTGTCTTTTGGGGTTCTGCAACTGCTGTATCTCAGGAACTTTCATACCTAGCTGTGCTTACTGGTAAAGGATGAGTGAGTGGATGATGGGTCTACGTATGCTGCTTTGGACATACAATTTGACCTGGATTTTTGATCATATGTTTAATCAACAGCACGTAAAGATTGTCCAGACTAAGTTAGACTTAAGGAATCTGTACTAAAGAGATACTGAACTTCACAAAACCAGCCTGTGGAGCCCCTCTGTCACCCACATGAGCCTCCGTATGTGTTCCACAAAGAGCAATACTTCTCTTTGACAGAACTGCAAATTATTAAACGTCGTCAGGGTCACAAAAGTTGTGTCTGGTTGCATAAGAAGTGGTACAGTGGACAGAGGGAAGCACAGACTTTCATCAGCTCATCTATTCCTTTATGTTTTTCAATACGGCATCAAGAAGTTGTCACAAAGATGCCGTGCTGAAGGGGACAAACTGAATCCTTTTTAAAGACTGGCTGCAAAGGGCCTGACACACAGCCTCAGGAGCTCTGGCAAGCTTCGAAGAATTTTATGTGGCCTTCAGCCTGATATCCATTAAGTGGAAACTCTGTTTGAAGGAGCTTATGTTGTGCAATGAACTCAATTGGCCTTTCTCACTTAAGTACCAGAGTAGGATATTTGCTGTGGCTTTGTAGAATCTGTGAGATAAGTATAAACTGACATCAGTGAATAAAGCTAGAAGGCATGTTTACTCCGTTTAGCTACGGACATGCATATAAGGGCAAACCTTCTTGAAAAAAATAATTTTTGAGTCAAATTTTAATAGAGGCAAAGCTTTTATTTTTAAAATCTGTTGCCTTTGTTCACCTTAACTACTACTGTAAAAGTTTTTACTCCTAAAATCTTTCCTTTCACATTTTTAAAAGGTGTTTGTAACTTTCCCTGAACTTGTATTTTGCTTCTTTAAACCAATGAAGACTGTTTTGGCAGCATGTATAATAATTTACCATCTATATGGAAAGGATCCAATAAAAGTTTTGCATTCAGTGAGTTGTCTTTTTATAATCACATTCTCTTTAGATTACTTGCTCACAGAACCAGACCCCACTATTTGCAACAGTGCCTTACTGACATCTGTACAGTTTCTCTGCTCCTCCAGTAGACCTCAATGAGAGATCCTGGGTAGCTGCATAGACAAACTAGGTTAAGGTTGTAAAGACTGGATTTCTTTACCCAATGCGGTGATTGGTTTGTGGTTAAGATGGGACTGTGTAAGGACAGAATGTGTGGAAGAGGAGTGATTGTACAAATGTTTTCCCTTCTTTGTTATAGCAGCTGTATTCCTCTGATATGAAGGTGGCAGATATTGGGGAAGAAAGTATTTATATATATATTGGGATGGTGGAAGTCTATCTTGGACATTAGTGGGTAATTATACCCCATACCTTAAATATAAACTTCCTGGCTTTCCCAGAATGGTATGTTTTTAGATTTTTACATAAAAATTTTCCATATTACATATAAAGAAAGGTTTGATGAACCTTTCTTAAAGGGCTTAAAGGACCTTTTGGGTGAGCTTGGCCTGCTTTGGCAATACTGTTTAAGAGACATGAGCAGAACTCCAGAGTAGGCTTTGTGTAAGAGATTTTTTTTATTTATATTGTGATTAATTTGTATTTCTCCAGGGAAAGTGAGGGATCTGCATATTTATGACTAGAGCTATGTCCAGCAAAATTTATTTCTTTACAAGCTGTACACTTTAACAGCTGATGCTGTAAGGTAAAACATATGACAAAGCAAGCCCAGGAAGGACATCAGTGGAGCAAAGTTCTCTGATTCTTTCTTGTGACAACAAGTAGAGCCTGGCCAGCAGCTGCTCAGGAGCTGCTCTGATGTTCACACCAGGTATTGCATGAAATCAGCACAGGAAGCAAACTCATGCATACCCAACCGCAGAGTTGAGTAGGGCATGTGCCTATTTCGCTGTATGTGCACTGTTTATGCTATTCAGGAAATGGATGTCACTTTCCTCAATCCAGCTCTATGAGGTTTAGGTGAAAAGTTAACAGGTATATTTATGTTTTCTCATAAAGCTGTTCTAGATTTTCGTTGAGGTAGTCTCAGTCTATTAATTGTTGATTTTGTCAAAATAGTAAGTTGGAATAATAATTTGCTTCTCTCAAACACCTTTAAATCTATAAACTTGATTTTTATAACTTTGTTGAATAAACAATTGCAAAAAAAGTAACTTTTTCTTTCCGTTTTGTTTGTTTTCCCCTACCCTGGCAGTGTTTTAGAGCACTTTGCTGCAAGGGACCACCACCACCACGACCTGAATATGACTTGGTTTGCATAGGTCTCACTGGTTCTGGCAAGACAAGTCTTCTGTCACAGCTTTGCAGTGAAAGCCCGGAGAATATAGTGTCTACCACAGGTAGGATGCTGCCTTTATTCCACGGTGTGCTGTAACATTGCCCAAAGATAACTTTTGAAACATATAGCAAAGGTGGTAGAGAATTTCAGCTTAGTTATCTTGCTTTTGAAAGTACCTAATGGATTGCTTTGAAGCTACCACTACTCTTCCAGTGTTTGGTCATACATTGGGGAATATCCATGAAAAAATACAATTTGGAATGTGTTGAAAGTCAAAACATACATTGTAGTGTATGAAGTAGAACCATTGGAAACATACAGTAGCAGTGTAGTGTAGACACATTAAAAGGTTTCTTTCTTCTCTTTTTACTTTCGGTTTTTAAGCAGTCTTGTTATATGGACAGAAAAGAGGAGAATGTGCTATAAAATAAAATGGGACAGTGATACCCTGAAACTTAAGTTGGGATTTATTTCTTCTTATACTTGGTCAGTACTGCCTTGTGGTATATGCTAGCAACCAAAAGAATAAACGTAATGGAAATATTTATTTCTGGTGATAATCCTTTCTTTTTAGATCAGCAGAGAGACTTGTTTGTGTAGTAAGGGCGCATTGAGAGCAGAGAATCAATTTATAAAAAGTTTTGGTGGCATTGAGAAGATACATAAAAACAGACACAACAACCACAGATAAAAGGTATCTTAAGTGCAAAAAATTTGAATATGCACGCTGATATAGATGAATCAGAATGCCCAATACTGGAGTATTTTGATTACAAAAACAAAAAAAACCCCAAAAAACAGCACCAGAAAAAACGGAAACAAACACGTGGAGTGAGAAAAAGGAATACTTGGTTGTAAAGTTCAGAAAGAGGACAGATTAGGTCATAGGGATGGAAGAAATCTGGTTCTGTGGCTGCAGCGATTTACTAAGGTTGATTTGCTGAGGAAACAGATAGTGAGTGTTGCGCAAGTAACTTGTGTTTATAGTTACATGGCTTTATATTGTAGCTGTGGTTCATGGCTTGAATTTTATGATTGTCTCTTAGCAACCCTAACTGGTTTTCAGTGTATCTTTGTTTAAATTACAAGAACATAAGGTTATTTAATACAACTGTAAGTAAACAAAGTAAAACAGGTACAAGAAAATACTGTTTTTTTCTGCAATGAATGATTAACCCATTGCCTTCACAGTGGTGTCATTGGGAATGTTAAAGAGATCTGACACTTCATTGTGTGGAGAAGTTGTCAATGCTTAACTCAAAATGTTAGAAGGAAATTGTAGAGTAATTCAGCTTTTTTTTTTTTCTTTTTTTCGCCTCTCCTGAGCTTTATCTTTAGAGTTCACCTGGAATTAGTGCAAATTGTATTTTAACACTTTAGATCCTGAAAGAAATAGTAGTAGCAATGTAAACAGCAGTATAGATCTATCAGAGGAAATAATGAAAATATGATTAATTTTAAAATTAAATTTCTTACCCGTTTCTAGACAGTTGCAACAAAATACCATTATTTAGTTAGGCCACTTGAGGCATGAAAACGGACTCTGGAGAAAACTAGGCAGCATCCAAACCAAAATGATACATATCTAGGCTATTCAGCTTATAATAAATCTACCCATATGTACTGTATCAGTGCTATATCTGAAAATAGTGTTGAGAATCCAAGAATACTATGTGACATCATCTACACTCAGTTTTCAAACTATAACCTGTATTTTTGCTTTTCTCATCAACGCCACTCGAGTCCATTCCAGTTTTTCCTCCTTTCTAGGAGAAAAAATATCTTGTTTCTGTTAAATGATAGCTAATAAACTTGGAGTGAAACACATTTTTTCAAAACTTCCTTACTCAGTTCACAGGTTTGTAATCATGTTGAAACTACTTGTGCTAGATGGAAATAAATTTAATGTCTATCTGGACATTTTATGCTGAAAGAGCAGACATAATTTTTCCTATGTAAAGTATATACACTTACATGTATGTATGCACTAAACATGCAGAATTTAGTATGTAGTATATTGATGAATTGCTGGGAGTCTTTCACAGTCCCTTTGTCTTGGCTGTCTGAATTTTCAGTTAAGGGAAAACATCGCATTTTTAAAAAGTTTTTCAGTTTTAAGCATATAACAGCCTGATAGAGGATTCATAGATGCTTCTAGTGTGCTTGTAACCATTTTAATATATACCACTTAGGTCTGTAAAAGGATCTTTCTTTAATAACATTTATAGACAGGATTAATACTCCAGGTGTAACCAAAACCTGTGAAGTTTAAATGTAAGAAAACAGTGATTTGAATTGCACGTTGTCTTCCACATCTCCTAAAAATTGCAGAAGGATCACTTTATATTACTGGTAGTCTGAAATCTAAACTTTAGTTCCAGAAGCATTAAAAGATGGTTTTATAAAGGTATTTTCCGTACTAACTCCTTACCAAATGGTAGATGGCCTGGATGGAAGTTTTGTGCTGAATTTTATGTGTGCCAGCTATTTAATAGTATCACTGCAAATTTCATTGCTCTGCTGATTTATTTCCCCTTGCCTTATAACTGATACTTTTAAACATCATATTAAAAACAGAATTTCACATGCAAAATCCTGGTTCTTGATGAAAAAAGTACGTCTTTTCTGAATATATGCAATTGATTTCAAATGGCCTCTTTAACAAATAACTTACTAATACTCTTTATTTCTGTTCTTAGGTTTTAGTATAAAAGCGGTGCCATTCCAGAATGCCATCTTGAACGTAAAAGAACTTGGAGGTATAGCATTTATTAATTTGATTATAAAAATACGCAGTGTCTAAATCTCATCATACCAAACTGTTAGTTGTTTTAAATTTAAAAATGATAAAACAGTGCGGCCGGAATTTAAAAGCTGTGTTTCACCACAGCAGATGAAGTTGAGAAAAATTGTACAAATGCTGGCTACAAAGAACAAAAAGTAAAAAGCAGGAGGAGCAGAAGGCAGATATGTGTGGTGTATCTCCTTAATGTAATTTCTTGGATTGCAGTGGTTAAATTATACGAAATACAAACTGGACTGTAACTGTAGTACGGCTCACGTGGCAGCTCAAGGAAGTGTGTTCCCTGTGTTTATTGTATGTATAAGCTTTTACTTACGAGCACTGGCTCAGATAACTATGTGAACATTTGGCAAAACCAATATATTTGCTGCACCACTGGAAGTGTTGCAAAGGCAGCCAACTTCCAATGAGTTACATGCTTTGAGATCTATTGTCTTGTTGGATTTGTGGGGTTTTGCAGGGATGGTTGGTTTGTGGTGGTGTTCTTTTAATTGTCTGTACACAGGTAAGCTCTTTGGCTGCCCAATTCTGACCCTGAGTCTTAAGTGATCAAGAGGTAGCTCTGTTAAAAGGAAGAAAACACTCTCCTAATGAGAGTTCTTGTAGAGTCTAATTTCATCTAATGTTCTTCTAATTAAAAAACCACGTAGATCTTCTTTACATTCTAGAACTTCTGTAGATCTTCTTTATTATCCATGTAAATATTTAGAATGAATCTTGAGGATGTTCATTAGATTTTCAGCAAGGTTGAAACCTCTTTTAAATGCTCTGCGGTAGAAGTTAACTTGGTTTTTGAAGGAAGTTTCATGAGTACAAATCAAGTTTCATGATGATTGTCTTATCTGAAACTGTTTCAAGAAGGCTTTGAGATAAGCACATATTAAAAGGATAACATTTCCTCTTTACTACCATTGGTCCATGGATTTAAATATACATGTTCTTGTTTGAGCATGTATCCTGTAAAAGAAGCAGAAGTTTTCATTGATAAAGGGACCGCTCCACAGGGATAGTGTTGGTTCTGCTTGAGTGTGTTATCTGTATAATGTGCAGTTAGGTCACTTTTTGGATTTTTTTTTTTTTAATAGGGTGAATCATTTGCAGCCCAGTTTATACATTCCGCTGCCTAATCTCTGTGAAATATATAATTCGTATGGGTAAATGCAGTTTTTGCATCAAGAATTGAATCTGAGTATTCTATAGCAGATCCTCATTAAAGTCTCTTCCGTAACCTTTTCTGATCATACAACTTTTTATTTTATGCAGGTATGTGTGTTATGAGAAACCTTATCTCAGTAGAGTGCTTTGATGTCTCATGACAGGATGTCCTGAAGTAATCCAGAATATATGATTTTTTTTTTCCCCACCCATTTATCTCTTCCCAAAGACAGAAGGATTGTCAGAATTTTTTTACTCCACCTCTTTATTTCTTTTCCCTTTAACTATGGGTGTTTACATGTCTGTACATAGAAATGATAGATGGAGACAAATGCTAATTCTGATAGCTTTTCATTGCCTAGGGATGGGGGAGCTAAGGCGAGCTTCCAAAAGCTTGTTTTTCTTCCATAAGTTGGTGGTCAGTGTTTAATCTTCTAGTTGAGAGATGTGTTCTATTTGATGAAGGCAAAGCCTGAGCTTTCGGGATTATACATGATTTCTCTCTTGCTGCTGTATGAAAATAAAGAAAAGCATCTTACATATTTAATCACTGCTAAATTTTATTTTGGAATTTTTGCTTCTGGTGTTGAAGCCTATGTTTTTGTTCTTATTCCTGGTTTTTGCTTCAGTTGTTACAGTATAGTTACCTAAGTTCTCTATACTGTAGCATGGAGGTCTTGTCCCGATGTTTGAGCTTGGAAACTTGAAGAAAGGTAGAAAGGCATCTGTTTTTAACACTCACTGTCTGTTGTTGCATGTTATTCAAAGGGTGAAGTTCTATGTAGTTTAAATTTTTGATACTCTTAAAATTGTCTTTTAGGTTTAGGTAACTGAAAGCTTCATATGTCTTTGTACAGCAACGTATTAACAGCTGATATTTAAAAAACTTACAGCAGAAGTCATACTGGTTAAGGTTCTTATATTCAGCAGCCAAGCAGTTATGTGAAACAGATGCTGACTGCGTAGTATCCTTTTTGTTTGGTTGGAGCAGTATGCTTCCTCAAGGTCAAAGACGGTGCTAATTTTTACTGTGCTGGTTGCCTTCTGGAGCTGCTAATGAAGTCAGGTTTTGTTTTTTTCATTTCTGTAGGAATTGTAAATTTTCAGGCAAAGTATATAGATAACAGTCTCTGTTCTTTTGTCTCTTCCTGGTCTGATTATCTCTTCATCAGCCTTTAGGATTAGGGACATGGAGCAAAGTTTGCTGTGCTCTTTGTGCAGAAATTTTTCTTTGAAGTACATGATACTAGAATATTAAAAAAAATTTCGTATTTCTGATTTTTTTTTTGTTGTGTTTGTTTCCTAAGCCAGCCTGCCTTCCTACCAGAAAACAAGGTTTTTATCCAATTTCATAAATGTTAAACGTTTTGTTTAAAAACATTGAATTTGATTCCGAATAAGTAAGAATATATATAGCTTTCAAATCAAACTTAAGCCTGCTTCAATTACTTGAAAAGGAGGTCTTGCTTTATTTACTGACCAAGCTGAACTGCCCATTCTCTTAGTTTTTATTTTGATATACCAATAGTCCCTTCCTGCTCCCTGAGAAATTAAAAAAAATTACCTTTTTCCTTAAAAAAATTTAGTCCATAAAATAAAGTGTGTAATTTAGATTATTGTGAAGATGTGTCATGCCCTAGTCCACATTCTGTCAGAATGTACTCTTACCAGGATAACTGGAAATATCTCTCTATATTATGCAACTCAGCTGAGTAATGGTATAGAAAGAAATTACAGATGTGATGATTTCCTGTTACAGTGCAGCAATCTCTGGTGTGAACTAAGGATGAAATTGTGTACAATGAACATACAGGAGAGTGGGGAAAGACTGGAAAAATAAGGCAGATGATAACATTTGTTGTTCAGAAGGTTATAACAGCGTTTTGCTGAAAAGTTTGGGATGCTGAATGCTGAGGTTTATTCTCAAAACAGATGAAGGTGCAAATGCAATAGGAAGCTTTTTCTTTGGTTCTAACAAATTCCAGCCTGGAGATACAGTGCCTGAAACCAGCATTTTTTCAGTGTGTTTATTCAGTCATTTGCTGTTGCAATGCTGTCAAAACAGAATGTGAAGTCGTGGTGTCTGTTGTGATGCAGATACTTATTCAGGCCTAAATCAAGATAGGTCCATTCTGGAGGTCAACTGATAATTTACAGTTGTTTTTTTAGAATAAGTCTATTTTATAATTTAGTTTGCTATCTTGTAAATGCAGACTTAGAAACTACTGGTGAGATGCCAAATACTGAGCCCGGTCAAATTTAAAAGAATTATTCTGGATGTGAACAGCTCTTTTTCTTCTTACCAAGTTTAAAAATACTAGCAATATGTTATAGGGTTTAGTAACATTCTCTGTTTTATGTACTAAAATATATTGTCATATGTTTGTGTTACGTTTTTGTAATCCACCCAGAGGCCTTTTTCACAAGCATAGAGAATCAACGTGTTGTGTAGTCATCTTTGAAACTTCATTTAAGACAAAATGTGTTAAGTGCTTAGCAAGAGCAGAGTGGTTAATATCAGGGACACTCGAGTCTCCAGTTGGTTGAGCGTGCCCAGGAAAAGAGATGAGAACTGTCCTCCCCACTGCTGTTCCTTCTTAATCCTTATGACCAAAGTCATAAATTCACACTCTTAGGCCAGCTAAATTAATTGTTGAGGTGAGAGCTTGAGAACAAATAACTTTAAATAGGATTGGTTAAACAAAGCATGCGTATTTTGCCTTAATTTGGAAGTAAAGAGCAGAAGAAGAGAGAGTAGGAGGGGGACTCACACTATCATGCAATTCAAATTGAATGCAAACTATGAACCCCTGGAGAAGATGGCAACAGTTGTCAGGTAGTATCTGTCTTGTGAAAAAATGAGGGAGGAGGGAGAAAATAATGTTGAGTTATTAATTAGAATTTAATATTTGAATAGTTATGGGAAACCACTGCTCTGTAGCGGTAGAGAGGAGTACTGAATACCCTTCTAGCAACATAGCCTGGCACAGCAGCTAAAATTTCATCTAGTTAGTCATCCAAAAACTGATCCCACAAGTAAATGCCAGCCTAAGTCATCTTCACAGGGATGAACTAACACAAAGCAATAAAATCTCTGTACTCTATTTGACTAAAAGGCAGTTGACACCTCTACAAAATCTGGTTGTGGAGTGCATGCAATGCCATCTGCGACATAACTGCGTCTAACAGTTTACAGAATGTCTTAGCAGATGAAATTTTTAGATGACCCTGATGAGCTGTCCAAGCTGTGAGCCGCACACAGACATTCAGCTTCCGAAAGCATTAAAGTTAGATCTGTTCACTATCAATCATACTCAGCCTGCTGTTCAAATGGTGCCTAAGCCCAGGCTCTGTCACATGGTTTCCTCATTTCATAGATAAGAGAGACCTTTTACACCTGCTTACGGATCTCATTAACATGAGTCCTGAGGAAGCTCTGATAAGGATTCAGCATTAGCAATCTTTCCACTGTTCTTTGGAAATATTGTTCTTTTTCTACAATTAGCTTTTTACAGTGTTACTAGACAACCTGCTGCCTATATTATTCAAAACAAGTAGGAGCCATGCAAGCAATGCCTATCAAAGCTATGTACAATATGATAAGCAAAACACCAAATTTCCTAGATACATTTTTTGTGGGGCGGGGGGCTGGTTGTTTTTGTTGATGAGATGTTTTGTGGAGAGAAAAGTTGAACTTCTGGTTTGCAAAAAAGCCTTTGTCTCCTGTTGGATTTGCAACTGCATTTTCTTCAGGTTGAATCAAAGGGTAGAGTATAGCAGCCTAGTTTAGCATCAGAAGTG